CAGCTTCAATTTAAAAAAAAAAATATTAAAATCGACCGAAAATTGAGACTCGTGGAACTTTGTGAACCAAAAAAAAAACTGATTCCCCACTCTGCGGCGGCTCGTCGTCGTTTTTGGAACTTGCGACAGGCCGATAATTGTTACAAATAAAAAATGATTCCACACGATGGAAATAAGAAGAAAATTACATCTAATGTTAATTCGGTCTGAAATTATGTTAATTGATTGTAATAAAAAAATATTAATTGTTAAATGCGGACATCGATGCGAATTTTAATTTAAATAGTTTAAGGTTATTATTTATTTTTATTTTGTACTGAGGATGGTCAAATGGTGACCGAAACGTCTACTATGTACATTGTTATTATTGAATTATAACTTTTTGACATCTCTAGCGTGGCTGTATGCTCCTTTTTACTTAACCTTCTTAAAATTGAATAATAGCGAATTCGGCAGACTGCACTAGACTAGTGCGCACTCAGTGCGAACTTTTTCAGTGCATTCGGCTTGTGTGCACTGTATCAGTGCATTAAGGGATGTACGACTTTTCACGTAAAGTAATATTTGTGTATAAAATCGTGCGCCCTTGGCAGGAGAGAGAAGTAGAAAGTCGTTTCCCATGGAAAGTCGAAACCCATATGCAACAGTTTAATTATATAACAGTAATTACGTCTATCTAGCTGCCCCCCCCCCTCCTCCCTAACTTAATCAAATCTTAATAAATAGATTATATAATAATGCGCTATTCATGCGCTTTCAAAATCCGCAACAAATTTTTGTGCTCATTTCGTTTAGCTAAAAAAGAAAAACATTTTTTTGTGCGGGAGCTGAATCTTAGTCTGTCTTAGGCTGTCACTTAGCCCGCCCCCCCCCTCTCCTTAATAACAATCGATTTAAAAAATCATATAGGTTCCATTTTTGCGTTCTTTAAAGCATTTCCTTCTTGGAGCAGTCACATTCGTCCCTAAATCGTTTATAATTTGAAAATTATACTATTGTATATAGCTATACATAATATATGCACATCTTAGGGTTGAAATTAGATTTATGCGCTACTATTTCCAAGCAATTTCGATTTTTGCAGCCCTTAAGGGACTTCCTTCTTAAAGCAAACAGTAGTAATAATCGTATCTAAGTTATTAAAAATTGCGAAAATATATACCAAAAATACAAGGACTCTTCGTATATAAAATAAATAACAACAAATGAAGGGCGAAGTAAGAGTCAACGTTCCTTGAAAAAGACATATAATTAAAGATATAAATTAAAAGTATTTTCTGTACAGTATGTACAGAAAATATATACCTTAAGGGCTGCAGCGCGCAAAAATCGAAATTGCTTGGAAATAGTAGCGCATAAATCTAATTTCAACCCTAAGATGTGCATATATTATGTATAGTTATATAGTGTAATTTTCAAATTATAAACGATTTAGTGACTGCTCCAAGAAGGAAATGCTTTAAGGAACGCAAAAATGGAACTTATATGATTTTCCAAATCGGTTATTAACAAGGAGAGGGAGGGGAAGGGGGCTAAGTGACAGCCTAAGACAGGCTAAGATTCTAAACAACTGCTTTAAAAGTATTTGTTCATTTCTTAATAAATATGATGTGTGTTCGAAATTTTCATTCATTTTTTCGAATATTATAGATGTATTCATCGGGCACACTACTTTCATCAAAATCTTTTTAAATGCCAGTGAACTTCATTATCAAATTGAGAAAGAAGAAAATACTGTACATACTATCTCTTTTCAATAGCTACTTTTAATAGCATAATTCTACAGGTACGTTAGAGATACTATATACATATAAAGATATTAAAACAGGATCTTCTTGTAATGTCATACTTTTAATTTATTGACTAGTTGTCGACTATTTTTAACCAAACTGCATGGATGCCTCAAGGATACGACTCCTTTAAAACTCCTCCTTACAATTCTACCAACAAAGCAAGCCAAACGATATAAAGGAGCTATTAATATTATGAATCTTCGAAGTAGCATACAGTAGAATTTTCTTCATCAGTTTTCGTGGACAATTAATATGTTTGCATCTTTTATAAATTTTTTAATGTATATGTAAAGGAAAGATTGAGTTCAAATTTAAAAAAAATTGCACTATAGATAAATGTTGTCTTAAACATCTTTTATATAACAATCAAAATCATCTTCTCTTTATTTAGTTATCGAGATGTATACATTCGTAAAAAATGCCTGGTTATAGCCAATAAATATTGAATGAAATAATTTTAACTAAATATGTGTTGAGGTAATATAACTAAATATAATTTTATCTTTACGAATATTTAGTAAGTATTACTAACGGTATAAATACTTATTAAATATTTACGAAGGTAAAATTATGTTTAGTTATATTACCTCAACATTTAGTTGAAATTATTTCACTCAATATTTGGTATAGCTATAACTAATTAGACTCTTTTTTTCAGTGTATATCCATATATTTTCCAAAAAAACTAAAACATATATCTGTGTTATAATGACAAATTGTGGAACTTACCATCGCTTTCCTCCTTAGTATCCGAATGATCATCATTAAACGGTAAAGATTGAATAGGACTGCCAATGGCTGGGCTACCTTTCAAAACTAAGAAAATACATAAATTTATTATAAGTTTACTCTTTCTACATATTTAATTTTTAAGGATAGGAAAGTAGTCACTATAGTGGCGTTAAAATAGAGTTCGAATTTGAGACAAAGAATATATAATGAAATAATAAATTATAATAAATCTCAAAAAAAGATATATTATA